ATAGAATCTATATTTCTTACATAAATATGGACGTTTTTGCTGTTCAGTCATTGCCCCGCCTAACTGTTACCCAAAATGGAGACCAAAGTTTTGAATTTAACCCCAGAAAACCAGGTACTACCATGACTTATGTCAATCAAAGACTACTCTGGTCAAATAAAAAAACTGATTTAGTGACTTTGGTAGAAGAAATGACAAAAAAATGACCTAGCCTCACAAAATGACAGTGTTATGCCTCACAAAATGACAGTTTTATTTTATGATACAAAGATGGCATATTTATATTGGATGCCCCTTGCCTAATTATTGGTATTCTTAAACCCAGTAAGCTTATGATGAGCCTAAATGTGTTTGTTTGATCATCAATTTTGATCAAAATGCCTCACAAAATGACACCGAAAAGCCTTACAAAATGACAATGTTTCAGATTGAATTATTTTCATCATCTAAAATGGATCAGAGACAGTCAATACAAGAAGGAGTTAAAAATAATCATAATCTGACAGTTAACAATCAAGTAGCATTAAAAAAGTGCAGTTCTGATATCAAAACTTTGATTTCAAACTCTTTGATTTCAAACTCTGATTTCAAAACTCAACGAAATAAAGCTTCTATTTTGTGAAAGCAGAGAGTAATAACAACTCCTAAAACATGTCAAACGTTAACTAAACACTGAAAAGTGATCTATCCAGTCATAGAAAATATCAAATATAACCAAATACTGTGTTCAAGTATTAAAATTTTTTCAAAGTATGAAAATGTTCCTTTTTAAATATATTTTGGTAAAAACAGAACTGGTATAATATAAACAACATATATATCTAACAGTAAGACACGTGAAAGAATAATGAAACTTTTTCCCAAATCGGATTTGAAGTAATGCCGTTTTGGGTTGTCATTTTGTAAGGCACTATCTCACGCGAAATTGCCCAACTTTTTTTAATCATCCTTTTTATTGTAAAAGCTATTCTAATCTTCAATCTATTATATTTATCTAACTGTCCTAGGTAAAATCAAATTTCTATAGGCTGCTGTTAAAAAATGACAGCCGTGACGAAATTGTCATTTTGTAAGGCATGTTTTTTTGGAAGATTTCAAAGATGACAATTTTTATCGCAAAATTTACGGTTTTTCAATCAAATCAACCCCCGGGAAGAAAAATATACCTGTTGAACTACCTATCTGGATAATAAAACATGAACAAAACTCATTTTTGTGCATTTCAGAGCCATCTCCTTTTTCGTGTCATTTTGTAAGGCCGATACCCGTATAACTCTAATAATTTCTCCCTTATTAGTAAATGTTTAAATCCACATGTCATGTCACATCCTGAATTCACATTACCCTCACCCCCAAGAGTGATACAAGCTAACACCTTTACCCACTCATTTACTAGCTGCGTTATTGTTCGTGTAATAGGAAAAGGGAAATGCCGAAATGTGTATACTGAGTAGCTACATTGAACCATCTTACCATCGTGCTGGCAGATGATTGTTAATAGTAAGGAAGTCTAAACCGTATGAAATATTTCGAGAAAACTAGAAATATGAATATCGCATGATAGTAGAAAGTCCTGAGTAAGGTTTTGCCTTATCAAAACTTGGTCATATTTTACTCTTCCTTCAGTTTCTAAGATTGCTTTTCGTTATGAGGAGTTTACTTGTGCTGGTATTGCTTGTTGTTTTATACGGGGCCGTTAAAAGCTGTGAGACGGTTTGTGAGTTTCTTTATGATAATCCCAGACATGACTGGAAAAGTCACTCTAGCATAGACGATACTTTCTTTGAAGATGCAGTGGGAAAAGGCAAAGTTGCTGGCATCATATCCGCTAGTTTTGATACATTCCCTTCGTGTGATTATAAAACAGCCGACTATCAAATATATGACTTCTTGAGGTTCTACGTGCATGGAACTGATGAGTCGAATCAAGCTCTTGTACTTCAGATATATATTTACTCCGAGTCTAGTGGGTACACCATATTTAAAGTTTCAGGAAAGGACGAAGATGGTCAAAACGGGAAAATTATTGGAGAGATACGTGAAGAGATAACTGGAAAAGCATCTAATTTCCAGATTTCGGACCAATATTCCGACTTTTACAAGATCTATCTTGGAGACCCTGGCAATTCTGCAAGCTTGGACTACAACTTTAAATCGACTCAAAATTGGAACTGGTTCCAGAACAACAACGTACAACTAAAAGATGTTGTAAGGATAAAGAATGGGGGAAGATGTATTGTCTACGAATACATATCAGCCTGCTCTGATCCCACACCAAGACTCTGTGACAAAGACCAAAGTAAGACAGAAGATGTGAACCTGGGCTCTAACTACACTCTCACCTGCACTGGCTCTGGAGCTCCCTATCTGGATGTTAAGTGGACTAAAGACGATGATCCTACTGGCATAAACCCAATCAACTCTATTGAGACTTCTAAGGCAGATCACAAGATCACATCTACAGTCTCTATAGATAGCCTCACGTCTGATCACCTGGGAACTTGGATCTGTACTTTCTTCAACAAGAACTTCGGAGACAATGTTACTAAAACATATGTGTTACAGTACACCCACCAAGTATCTCTCCTCCACTCTCCGGAATTTGATTACTACAAAGCCAACGACAAAGACACTGAGTTCCAGTGGGTTGTTCAAGGCTGGCCATTAAAACAGGTGACACTAGATTGTGGAGATGATGTTAATATAACGAGAGACGAGAGTGGATATACTACCTCAACACCTCCCCGGCTAATAATGACACTATCTCTGACCGATCTAGATGTGGTGAACTGTGTTCTCAAAGATAATGACAAAGACCTGCAAACTGGTCAGATCACTAGAGTCGGGTACAATTGTAAAGCAGGAGAAGGTGGTGTTGGTAAAGACTGTGAGGATTGTACAACGGGAGAAACAAGTATAGCTGGTGCTGGAGAGTGCTACACTGGAAACAGTTCCTGTCCTGAAGGAAAGTGGGGAACTGGGGAAAGTTGTCATCAGTGTCCAGAAAATCAGACCAGCAAGCCCAGTACCGTGAAAGAACAAGAATGTTTCCCTGATTTAAGTGACTGCACCAGAGGTCAATATGGCTATGGAAATGATTGTACCCAGTGTCCTGATGGAAACACAAGCTATGCATTTACAAAGAAAAAGGCTGGCTGCTTCCCTGATATAAGTAATTGCACAGGTGGGCAGTTTGGATATGGAAATAATTGTAACCAATGCCCCAAAGGAAAGAACAGTTTAGCGTTTTCAAAACTTGAACAAGACTGCTCCAGAGCAGATTTCTACATCCGTATTGGAGCTGGTAGTGGAGGGTTTCTAATTCTCTTGATATGTCTCGTTATCATGTTATACTTTAATCTCTGCAAGAAAACACCACGTATAACAAAGGAAAATGTAAAGAATGATTCTTCTAACTCAGCTTCATCAACTGAATTAGAAAAAACAGACGGAGAAAGAGCTATCGGTCTTGATGCCCTAGAGATAGCAACTTTTCGCTCAAAGCTCGACTTAGAGGACTCTGGTAACACTTATGCTACCCTTGTGGCTAGTAAACCTGTGATCCGTTTCAAGACTACCGGAAACGAAAGCAATGATGGGGAACCTACTGTTGAGTTACCATTCAGTGTGCTGAATAGAGATCATCTGATTGTTAAAGATGATGTTGTAAAAGAAGATGTTTCCTATGCTACTTTAGGTGAAAAGAAAAGAGAACCTAGTTTTGAAGGTGAGAAAGAGGATGCCTACATGTGCTTGGGAAGATCATCAACTACACAAAGGCCCTGTCAGGCACCCAAAATGATGAACTCGCACTGCTCTTACATGAATGATATCGGAGTTCATCAAGAAGATGAAACCCCTAAAGCTCACATTGACAACAGGTGAGATACCTTGTATACTTATTACTGAGATCATCAGAGAAGATTGGAAGTTTTGTTTGTATACCATAACAGTACAAATGATTGAATTTGAACCAAACTTGCTTTAAATTTTCAAATTAACAACAGTGTCTGCAGTAGGGCTAAAGAAGAAGGAGAAGAAGAAGAAAAAGAAGAAGAAGGAGGGGAAGAAGAAGACACGTACGCAAGTGTAGAACTAGTGATAACTTCGGGACTACGAACACGGGAGGTGACGAAGATGACCCAGAGAGAGAATGTGGAATACTGTACAATCGCTGATCTGAAACAGAATGCCATTCCTGAGGATATTTACATGAATATGAATAACGAATGAAAGTGGACTTAGGTTTTATGTGACAATGCACCAATACTTAGTGACATTCTCCATGATTTTTGCAGATTAGACTCTAGGATCATTTAGAGACTTTAGGAGGAAACATTTTTACTGATTATTTTAATTTCCTCCTTATGGACAATTTGAATTATTTTTGTTGGGTACTTTATGTTTAATCTTTACTTTAAAAAAAAAAGGTGTAATGACACTGATTCAATTCATTCTATGATCATATGATAATATTCACATCAGCTAAAAATGTTGACCGTTTTCTATTCGAATATCATTTCAATAATCGGTAATAACCTCAACTACAAATATCAAAACGTGCTCGATATTGCACGCTGCGATAATAATAGTATAGAAGGAACAGACCAGTATGAACGAGAATTTACCATGAGATTTTAAAAGTAGGATTGCTCTATCCATTGTGCACAGTCCAGCTACCACAACTTATGTAGTGTTAGTTTTAGGAGTCATGAGTCAGGTGGTAAAGCTCAGTACATGTTTGTACACTGTTGGGGTAAATTTCCTATTCGAAACAATCTGTTGGACAATGTCTTCCGGTTAACTTCGCCGGTCTATATTTAGAGGAACAAATCTCTTCTCATAAACGTAACGCGCTGCGACATTTATTTCATGTTGAATCCGCGCGCAGTTAACAAATGCGCGCTAGGGTTTGTTTATTTTTTCGAGATGATCTGATCGATACGACGGGATCTCGATTTAGATTCTGTGACAGCCAGTCAATTCGCATTTCATTTCAGATAGCACATTCCGGAGCGCTGAACAATTATTCGGAGGGAATAATGGTACTCGGAGTCGGAAAGGCTGTCAAATATATTCCGGTACGTTGCAATACCTCCTTTCCATTGATCCCAGTTTATTTTTACAAACACAGAAACACCCGCAGTTGGTTAAATCCACCAACTATATTTATACGTTCTATATTCTACTGCTGTCCTATTTATATCAATGTTGTGAACACTCCAGGTTATACGAGGACATACCAGGATGTACCTGGTCCGAGGAATGTTAGGGGTCGCTACTAACACTTACGATGCTAGTGGGGATTACTCCAGAGTTTCACCGTATAAACACGTGTCGGAAAATGATATGAGAGAAGCACTGAATGAGTGCTATGTTGGGAATATTCAACAAATTCCACCCGTCTTACCTTCTTTCAGGTTGGATTTTAGATGTTCAAATAGTTTTCCGGCCACGTTTTCGAAAATTAGTCTCGACGTATGGTTACAACTTCATGATACGTATTAGAAGCGTTAAGCCGTAGTACATACATATTACACTACATGATATTTATGATAGCTGACAGTTACATACTCTTATTTACACGTATATCTTTTAATAATTTCAATCTGACATCGCAGATTTCTGCAAAAAAGCAAGTTGTTTGAAGGGAGATTAGTTTCTAGAGATCCTTGTGAAGTGACGATTAACGGTATTGAGATTGTTGAGTTCGAACCTCCTAGTTTTCAGCTACACATCCACAGTGTTGGAAGGTAAATTAGCAATCAGTTTCATCTAATTTAAGCTTGTGTTTGCCAGAAATTACCGATGATTTGTCCGATGATTGTATCTAATTATATTGTAATGTGTTTTACAAAAGTTTGAAGTATGTTTCACTAACAGGGTGTACGCGACTAGTTTATTAAACGACCTAGGAGAAATTCTGGACTCCGCGGCTCATCTGACCCATCTGTGCAGGGTGTCACAGGTACATTTAGATGCTTTAACAAAACCAGGCTCTACAATTTTATATTCGATAATTTTGAACTCGACTAGTTTTAGCAGCTACATTTTCAGTCAGTTGTGCCAAATGATCAAATTTTTAAACTCTAAACTTTCACCAGGGAGATTTTGGGTTCAAGGAAGCTTTGCATTACTACGATTGGAACGAAGAGACGGTGCAAAACAACTTGTACCTCCCAAGTAACGATCCCGAACTCAGCAAACCACCTAAATAATTGTAGAGAAGTTACAGAGAAGTTACAGAGAGGGGATTTTAAATTCTTCGGGAGATTTTATGATTGTTGTACGAAATACAGCCCTGAAATTATTGTATTCCCATGGAGACACATTAGTTGGGTCTAAACCATGTTGTATTATGTAATTACTATTGTTTTGAACTTATGTACGTTATTTATACGATTGTTAATTATTAATTTGCAAGTTTATTTGTTATAATTTGTTCAGATCTGTTTACATTATTTTAACGAGATTATACCATCTTTAATGTTATCTTAATGGGGTCGACATTTTTCTGTAGGGTGTATTGCGACTGATTATATCAATGTTAACCAAGACCTCTCGGAATGTTGTCGAAATATTTTGTAATTTCTAGCTCAGTTCTCAAAAACATTTCTCCTTTTTTTTTGCCGTTTCAAGGTCTCACTGTTGTCCTGACCTTAAAAGTCACGGCAAACATAAATCAAATTATGAACCAGTATACTAAATCTGAGTTTCAGCCACTGGTAGTTTCCAATTTAAAGATTTTACTTATATTACGAGGATTTTGATAGTGATATTCGTTATTGTTTTAAGATTTATTGTTGTTAATGCTATTCAAATTTCAAGGACTTAAACTTTAAAAGAGTATCATTATTTCTATAGCTACGCTCGTTTCGTGAAACAGAATGAACTGAATTTTCTTTCCCAATTAATGATAATATAGTAAAATCAAACAATTACGAGGAGCATTCATTTTTTAATAAATTATAACTGGAATGGCATCAGTGCCAAATGTCTAGATAGCTTTAATTCTAGCCGACCCTCCGTTTATCAAAACAAATGAAAAACCGTACATTAAATGAACTAAACATAAATTTAAACCTATTTATACAAGTTTTATAAATACATTTATTTACATGTAAAAACTTAATAACTTACAACACTGATAAATGGTATCTAATTCTAAAAATAGTGGGACTGAAAGAAATAATATAAAGTTTGGGGAGTTTCTTAATCAAATTTTCTTAAGTTTGTTATTTAATATCTAGCGGAAAATAAAGTTATACTGCAATCTAAGCTAAGAAAAGTATTTGAAATTTATTATAACGTTCTTGCTATATTACAAATACAAAACGATCGCACTGCATGGATCAGTAGAAAAGATTTTGATATGAACAAGGATTGTTCATATCTATATAGACTTCATGATATAAATTTATGATTGCATCTACAGATTGGAATAAACAGAATTTATCTGGCATTGAAAAACGTACCCTCTAATTCCATTAGAGTCTCATTAAAATTGTACAGCAAGTCTAATTTTTATATGAGAATACAAAGCATGGCGCGTGATCGAATGATCAGTTAACGTAATTAAGTAGCCACGTGACTTCATCACAAAATCCTATGACGTCATCACAAAATCCGGTGACGATAATATTACATGTTGTCAGGAACAGAAGTAGGTTCTCTGGAATCCAAACCAGCAACCGACGAAGAACGAGAGGTAAAGTTCTCGTTGAGTTCCAGCTCTTTCTTTTCCTTTTCCCCGAGTTTCCTTAAATTGCTCAGATCGTAGTCTTTTATCGTCTTTCCTGAAGAAGTTTGATTATTAAATAACATTTTTTTAATTTTTAAAATTATTAAAAAACATTTTCCCCACCTACAAATGTGGGTCCAGTCGAGGAATCTCTGTTTAAAACCTCTAATTGATAATCACAAAACTAAGACCTACATACCGATGATGCCAATACCATAGCAGGTAAGTTCAGAAGAGGTCACATCAGTAGAGACATTTTGTGGGTTATTTAACATTGCTTCAACCATTGGGGAGTGCATGTTGATGGCTTTACCGAACGGACTTCGCTTACTGAAATTTACAAGTGTTTGGTCAAAGAATGAATAATAAAATCGGGATTTTAAGATGGCTATTAAAAATTAAAAAATCGAATGACGGACGGACTACGGGACTACGTCTCCATTTTCAAAACAAAAGTAATGTGATAAATTAAATATAAGTAAACTCTCAAATGGTTAAAGCCGTAGTACATTAACATATTACATTACACTGGAGCTTACACAGTGTAATTATCTCCAGTCTGCCTACGTTTATGTAGGCGCGCGGCGCAGACTGGAGGAAATTACACTGTGTAAGCTCGATCCAGTGTAATGTAATATGTATGTACTACGGTTTAATAACCTCCTTAGTCGGCGGTATTCAGCAGCACTTGGACCACTATTAGGATCACTTAGTCCCTTCAACTTGAAGTAGTCCGGGTACTTCTCCTCCAACTCTTTCTGGGACAGCACTCGTTGGTTTATGTTGAACGAGTCTGATCGGAACAGTCTGTAATGGTTAGTGTTACAGTTGATTAATTAATTAACTAATTATGTTATTATTTAGTGTTACAGTTTCATTACTGACATCTGAGCTAAATCTACTTGACAAAACATAAGCATTAAGCAATCTGCTATTAAAGATGGGGAAGATGAACCTGAATAAGTATTTTCAAATCTTGAATTTTCTCACTTCTCACCTCATATCAAATGCTGGCTCACTATCTTTCGCACAGAAAGTCATGCTCACATATTCGCTAATTGGCAGTGTTCAAATCACGTATTTCACACACTCATAACGCCGAACTCTCACAGTCACAGATGGAATTACAGATTCTCTCAAAACCCACGTGACCTCTCTCAAAACGCCCACGTGACTTGCCTGCCCATTTCGGTTCTGATAACATCAGGATCTGCTTCTACAAATGTGAGACAAGCACAGTAAGTGAGGCATTGGTACAAACTTTCGTAGAAGTCTTTGTCTTTTCTCGTTTTAGAATATCTTAACCTGTAACCGATTTTAATTAAAATAAGGAGTCCACGAAACACGAAAAATTAAAAGAAATGATATAAAATAACTTATTTTATATAATTTAATAAGACGACAGAAAGAGAACTGGAACTGTGAAACTTTGAACTTTGAAAAACTAAAATAAATGCCTTAATCAAATATCCCCGCCACGTGATATATCTTTAAAATTTAATTACCGTATTAAGAGTCCTAAAGGGGATCCTAAACATAAACACTAAAAACTAAATAAGAATAATGAACAGAAAGCTGACTGACTTGCCAGCGCAGAGATGATGAGTATCTGGGCTCCTATGTCCCAGCAGCACCGCTCCGTAAACAGAGGACAACATCTTGTGAGCTTCATTGAGTCTGTCATTGTCACGTGCCTCACTCTCCGCTTCTTCGATACTCTGCTCGCTTAGGGTTACCATTAGACTGGTAGCTTGTTAGTATACTGCAGCTTATTTCATGTTTTTATAATACCACGTGACCTACAAGTTACCATTAGTTACCACGTGACCTACAAGTTACCATTAGTTACCACGTGACCTACAAGTTACCATTAGTTACCACGTGACCTACAAGTTACCATTAGTTACCACGTGACCTACAAGTTACCATTAGTTACCACGTGACCTACAAGTTACCATTAGTTACCACGTGACCTACAAGTTACCATTAGTTACCACGTGACCTACAAGTTACCATTAGTTACCACGTGACCTACAAGTTACCATTAGTTACCACGTGACCTACAAGTTACCATTAGTTACCACGTGACCTACAAGTTACCATTAGTTACCACGTGACCTACAAGTTACCATTAGTTACCACGTGACCTACAAGTTACCATTAGTTACCACGTGTCCTACAAGTTACCATTAGTTACCACGTGTCCTACAAGTTACCATTAGTTACCACGTGTCCTACAAGTTACCATTAGTTACCACGTGTCCTACAAGTTACCATTAGTTACCACGTGACCTACAAGTTACCATTAGTTACCACGTGACTACAAGTTACCATTAGTTACCATGTGACCTACAAGTTACCATTAGTTACCACGTGACCTACAAGTTACCATTAGTTACCACGTGACCTACAAGTTACCATTAGTTACCACGTGACCTACAAGTTACCATTAGTTACCACGTGTCCTACACCACGTGACTTGCTTGTTTTTAAGGTTGTTTTTTGCAAGTTTTCTTTCCGTATCGCAAAAAAAAAGAAAAAAAGAAAGTTGACACATAAACTACAGTTTATTTGTGAAGACCAAAAAAAAGAAAAAAAAGAAAAAAAGGTCACAGGTTTTTTTGCCCAACCAAGGTACACCTTACTAGGTATAATTTCAAATTCAATCCGAGATACACCTTGCTAAGTTGCTAGGTATAATTTCAAATTCAATCCGAGATACACCTTGCTAGGTATAATTTGAGAAGATGCCAATCCCGGTTTTTTGAACGCTTTTTTAAGGTTCTCAAAAACTTTTAAAGGTTTTGTTCTCCTTTTTTAAGGTTTTTTGAGCTGAAACCGCTCTTTTTAAGGTTTTTTGGCAATTTCACGATTTTTAAGGTTTTTTAAAGGTTTTCAGGTCCGCTACCAACCCCGTACTCAGGTAATTAGAGTAATTATTCTAAATTACTTACGCCATCATAGGGCGGGGCTTGTTGTTCTCTTCCATCTTGAAATAACAATTGAAGAACTTAAGAGTACATGCAATCATCTCGTCTACTAGCGGGGAACTGAAACAAATACTACAATTTATAATTTTATTGAGATAGGATGAGAGCCCGATTAGTGGCATTAGTCGTGATCAAACCTTGAAAATAGATTTTGCTTGCATGTCTTACGTTAAAATAAATATCGAATAATTTAAATTCAAAACCGTAACATTCATTATAAGAAAGATGTTTGAAATCGATGTGTCTTACTCATAAAGATCGTCACTTGACCCTCCCTCCGTACTCAATCTAGAGATAGCAACCGCTGAAAATGAAAAATGTATAATGCAGACTTGTTTTCATCTAACAAAACATGCAAACTGTAAAGTTACGAATACACATTTAAGATCAATCTTAACGTATTAATCCAGCTGTTCGAACGAAGAACGATTTTTAACCCATCATGTAGGGTTATCCTTTCGAAAATGGAGCAAAAAAAATGGACTAGGATAATTGTTAAGTTGCAAGTGCTCAACTGCAGCGTGCAGATTGAAACAGCCAACCGGCTAACTGCCGTGACAGCAAGGCTGCAGTTGGCTGCATCTAATAGACGAGGCTGCAGTTGGCTGCATCTAATAGACGAGGCTGCAGTTGGCTGCATCTAATAGGCAAGGCTGCAGTTGGCTGCATCTAATAGGCGAGGCTGCAGTTGGCTGCATCTAATAGGCAAGGCTGCAGTTGGCTGCATCTAATAGACGAGGCTGCAGTTGGCTGCATCTAATAGGTAAGGCTGCAGTTGGCTGCATCTAATAGGCGAGGCTGCAGTTGGCTGCATCTAATAGGCGAGGCTGCAGTTGGCTGCATCTAATAGGCAAGGCTGCAGTTGGCTGCATCTAATAGGTAAGGCTGCAGTTGGCTGCATCTAATAGGCGAGGCTGCAGTTGGCTGCATCTAATAGGCGAGGCTGCAGTTGGCTGCATCTAATAGGCGAGGCTGCAGTTGGCTCCATCTAATAGACAAGGCTGCAGTTGGCTGCATCTAATAGACGAGGCTGCAGTTGGCTGCATCTAATAGGCAAGGCTGCAGTTGGCTGCATCTAATAGGCGAGGCTGCAGTTGGCTGCATCTAATAGGCAAGGCTGCAGTTGGCTGCATCTAATAGGCAAGGCTGCAGTTGGCTGCATCTAATAGGCAAGGCTACAGTTGGCTGCATCTAATAGGCGAGGCTGCAGTTGGCTGCATCTAATAGGCACGGCTACAGTTGGCTGCATCTAATAGGCACGGCTACAGTTGGCTGCATCTAATAGGCAAGGCTACAGTTGGCTGCATCTAATAGGCACGGCTGCAGTTGGCTGCATCTAATAGGCAAGGCTGCAGTTGGCTGCATCTAATAGGCAAGGCTGCAGTTGGCTGCATCTAATAGGCACGGCTACAGTTGGCTGCATCTAATAGGCACGGCTACAGTTGGCTGCATCTAATAGGCAAGGCTACAGTTGGCTGCATCTAATAGGCACGGCTACAGTTGGCTGCATCTAATAGGCGAGGCTGCAGTTGGCTGCATCTAATAGGCAAGGCTGCAGTTGGCTGCATCTAATAGGCACGGCTACAGTTGGCTGCATCTAATAGGCACGGCTACAGTTGGCTGCATCTAATAGGCAAGGCTGCAGTTGGCTGCATCTAATAGGCAAGGCTGCAGTTGGCTGCATCTAATAGGCAAGGCTACAGTTGGCTGCATCTAATAGGCACGGCTACAGTTGGCTGCATCTAATAGGCACGGCTACAGTTGGCTGCATCTAATAGGTAAGGCTGCAGTTGGCTGCATCTAATAGGCGAGGCTGCAGTCGGCTGCATCTAAAAGGCGAGGCTGCAGTTGGCTGCATCTAATAGGCGAGGCTGCAGTTGGCTGCATCTAATAGGCGAGGCTGCAGTTGGCTGCATCTAATAGGCAAGGCTGCAGTTGGCTGCATCTTATAGGTAAGGCTACAGTTGGCTGCATCTAATAGGCAAGGCTGCAGTTGGCTGCATCTAATAGGCAAGGCTACAGTTGGCGGCATCTTAAGCCAAAGTTTACCGTTCTCAGCAAAGCACACGTGTGAATACAAATGAACCGTGTGATTTAGACGTGCACTGTAAACATTGCTCACCTTTAACATCCTGCATTGTTAACATTGCTCACCTTTAACATCCTGCATTGTTAACATTGCTCACCTTTAACATCCTGCATTGTTAACATAGCTCACCTTTAACATCCTGCATTGTTAACATTGCTCACCTTTAACATCCTGCATTGTTAACATTGCTCACCTTTAACATCCTGCATTGTTAACATTGCTCACCTTTAACATCCTGCATTGTTAACATTGCTCACCTTTAACATCATGCATTGTTAACATTGCTCACCTTTAACATCCTGCATGGTAATGTATTTAGGGAGGTTAGAGTAACTGTCTCTGAAGCTGTTAGTGTTGGAGCCCAGCACGTTCCCGCCCACTGGAAACTGCGTCAACCTGGTGGGACATATACTGTACCCATGTTAATACTAACATTATCTTTACTGTACCCATTTTAATTACTTAATCACTTAATCAATTAATTAATTAAACATTATCATTACTGTACCCATAATAATACTAACATTATCTTTACTGTACCCATGTTAATACTAACATTATCTTTACTGTACCCATGTTAATTACTTAATCACTTAATTAATTAATTAATTAAACATTATCATTACTGTACCCATAATAATACTAACATTATCTTTACTGTACCCATGTTAATACTAACATATATTGTTCCCTTGAACACTTTTTTACATTTTTTTTGAACATTAATTATAAGAAAGATGTTTGAAATACAGATATAGCTTTATAACACTCCATTTATAGGTTATTATAGGTTTATCCTACATTGTTAGTTATGATACCTTGATAGTACATATTTTGTTTTCATCCATATACACCTTATTTTTTGTATGGACCTGGGGGGTTCACAACACTTTTTTACATTTTTTTACACTTTTCTACACTACACTTTTGCCTTTTTTGGTGTATGGTGTAGGAAAAAATGTATACTAAATTACACTTTTTTACATTAAATTTTACTAATTTTTGTACACCTTAAATTACACTTAACCAAATTATCTTCTGAAAATCTTCTTTTTTCCTATTATTTTCCCATCAGTCTTTACTTACGAAGTGTTAGGACCACAATCTTTAGCTCAGTTTAAGCTGAATTGTTTTTATAAAGCCTTTCCTTTGGCATGTACAACAATCTCTAGCTCAGTTTTCACTAGGTCATCTGTCATGTCTAGTGACCTAGTGACATTGTCATATGTCTAGCATAAGTAAGAGGGCGCGACTAAGGAATATGGAGCAATGACACTAAAACCATCCAGTATGAGTTCGTATTTAGACGTCAAGCTCATGATCTGAGCTGAGGTGGTCTACTTATCCAGAGATAAGCCACCGCTTAGCCGCTAGTCCTCTTGCTTAATGCTTATAGTGCAGATAGTAAGAGTTGGCATCCTCTTTCCTAGTCCACCGTCCTTCCTTATTGTATAAAAGTATTAAAAATTAAATGGTGGGGTTTTTTTTCAGTATTCAGTACCCTAGCTTTTAGGATCTTTTTGAATAAATACAAGTTTTAAGCTATACCATACCAGCACCTGACCAGCATGGCACGTGTAAGATTGAAGTACCGCACGTGCAACGAGAGAGCGCGAGGAGATCGATTAAATCCTAGTGATCTTCCTGGAACATACAGCTCAGAGTTTGCATGTACAATAATGTGGGATGTCTGATAACGTTAACCTCACAAAACTGGCTCAGTGCTCACACCAGGGAGAGAAACGAGAGCAGGCTCGGAGGGGCAGGGAGCACCGCCTGACCACCGCAAACAACACTATTACCTATGACATTAGTAGTAATAGTAACATTAGGACCACTAGAAGGTCCTTAGCGTGTGGCTGGTGACCAGTACGAGATAGCGGGCCGTTTACTATTTCGGGAGTAGCTCAGATTTATGGGAATGTTTTGTTGAGCTGCTTCTCTGTGTTAGAGTATCTGGCTATTTTTTATTTATTTTACATTTTTGATCAAATAGTATCATTAACATCTAGAATTCACATCTAATTTTAAATAATATCTTATGTTATGATGATTTATTATGTTCAGTACAAATATCATGTTATAAAAGTTGAAGGTTTGCGAGGAGAGAAGCAGGTTTGACAAGATGAAACTGCTGCTCAGCATGCTGCTCATTCTCATAGGTAAGATGCCTGGTATCTCTGTCACGTGTTATGTCACGTGTCAAAACGTAGAATTTATTATTAATGTCACGTGTCAAAACCTAGAATTTATGTCACGTGTCAAAACATAGAATTTATTATTAATGTCACGTGTCAAAACATAGAATCTATTATTTATGTCACGTGTCGACCCAAATATGGCGCAAGTCTCCACCAGTATTCAGATATATAGCAATCAAAACGGATACCCAAAACAGCACCTTCAAACGATCATTTATCGCTTAAATATAATCTCGGTAAATTTAGAGTCCCATTTTTTATTCTATTTATATCTCTCAATTAAAGTAAGTTAATGAAAACATTATTTTCTTTGTAGGAGTCCAGGCTGACTACAATATTGAAAGCCCTTTAGCACTCGGAGACGTCATCGTTGGTCAGTACAATCAAAATTATTTAATTAACAAGAATAAAGTGTTCATCGCTTATTTTTTTAAAGAGTTATACTTTTCTTAATAGTTTGCTTTTTTGCCATTAAGGCCGATGAGAGTAATCACTGGTAATATGAATGAAAATATAATAAAAATAGGCGTTAGATTTTCAGAATGATGAACTGATCTACTACAAGGCAAAATAATACAACTTTAATTAGTTATAATATTTCAGTGAAAGGTACCTATACGACCGCAACTCCTATCATCATCAAACTGCAGATGGAACTCCAGAACGAAATCATGGCTGAAATAAGCTTCACAGATGAAGTAACGTAACTTTTGGCTTTGAACAATTAACGATAGCTACTAACCAATTTAAGTGTTGGAGATTAACAAATAACGAGCGACTTTTCATCCATAACATATGTACATTGTACAGTTTAGAAGTTACACAAGCTAACAAGTTGTACAAATGTACATGGTAAAACACCCAAATTGGATTGCCCCGATCTACTGCAAACTGCAATTTATCGCCGCAACTTTCTTCCCCCAAAGTTTGGGGGGGGGGGGGGGGGGGCAAACTCACTATACATTATATGAGCATTGGAAACCTTCCAAACTCCACGGTAAATCGGGGTTTTCCCGTTTTACAGTATGAGTAAAGGGAAAACCCGAATTTAAAAACGGTTTGTAGTAACTTGCTTAGTATGGAGATGTTCACATAATTATAAATATCTCCACACAGGTTGTTATGAACTCCAAAGAGCAGGGCGAATATAAAGAGGAGATTATCACCGATCTTCCTGCTTTTGAGGAAGGAAAGCTTTTCAAAGTGGAAATTAAATGCCGGGAGGGCGAGTTTGAGATCATGGTTGATGGCATTGTGAGTATTTAATATACTTTTTTACGATTATCCAAACGTGGGTCACCTCCCCGCTAGTATCACGAGCCTCTCCATTTTACAAATCTTAACCAAATATTAGCTGAGGAGACAAATATTAGCCGAGGAAAAAAAGTTATATAGCAATTTTTAATTCTCTTTTTCAGGCACTAGGATCAAGATTCCCCTACCGAAATGACTTTGCTATTGAAGATGCAAAGTCTATTCGTGTAAATGACGAAGGCTATGATGTGGCTACAGAAAGTGAGTAGAAACATTTTTTCCCGAGCCATTTCGCTCATGTTATCATCATTAATTTAATGTTTACTATTTACTATTAATTAGTGGTTAGCAGCTAGATCCTACGGTATAAAAGTAACTAAAGTAAACACTGTGTTTTGGTAGATTGGTCCTTACCAAGGTTCATACCAAGGTTGTGCAAGAGTTCGCTGCAATATTTAAGTTTCTCTGTAAAATTTGAAAAGTATTTCATTAAATTTTGAACCACCACCTCCATCATAAGCGTGCCCAGCTGGTTGGATAAAGTCCGACACCACGTGTGAGAAGTGCTCTGAAAACACCATCCGGGATATGGGCGCTGCAGGGTGCACTACTTGTCCGGAAGGACAGTACTCCAATTCTCTTCACACCAAGTGTCTTTACGGTTAGTTTATACTTTCCTTCTTGCAAATTAATCCTCATTAAAAGGAAGTTTTTAACGAATAAGGTATTTCCACGTTATAAGAGTTCTTCTGTCGTACTTTTGAGCTTTTAGCTGCCAGTTCTTTGCAGTTGAGCATAGTTTTGAATTTAGTGTATCCAAATAATTACTACTCAGCTGGCCCGGTGTTAATAATAATATTTCCTACTAGTTATTACTTGGGACAAACGATATTAAGTCAAATGCTGTTCATGTGAAAACTACCACAGATCAGTGATTTTACCGAATAGAGATTGCATATCAATGTCTTTAATTCCCCCTACAAAGTACGTTTAAGTGCAATAGCTTAGGTAAAGTCTTTAACTATTAATAAGCAGACAACATAACCTCAAACAGGGGGGGGGGGGGGGGGGCAGGGAGTCAAGAGTATTAATAACCTCCCTCCCGCCCCCCCCGCCTCAAACAGCACAGAAACTCTGCTATTATAGTAGCAGACTACTCTCCAAGTAACTCTCAAATATACTCTATAAAAACTAACCTCTCTCGATCTCTCCTCTTATCGGGGGCTCGTTGTCGTCTCTGCTGTCTTGAACCCACACCCTCTGTAAAGGAAACATTGGAACCCCTGAAAATTAAACTTTATCAAAAGATATCCAGTAGAAAGACGCAAGCTAGTTAAATTTAAGTATTGTATTCATGAATACCAAATTGTTTCAACTTCTTATGAATACGACTTAGTAATGCACTATGCAACCAAAGGCATTAATGATACTGCATTGCCAACTATAACTTAAAGAATTATGAAAAGCAATTAACATTAAAAAAGATCACGATATAAGAATCAAATATCTCTAATTTTCTCAACAATATCTCTAATCTTCTCAACAATATCTCTAATTTTCTCAACAATATCTCTAATTTTCTCAACGATATCTCTAATTTTCTCAACAATATCTCTAATTTTCTCAACAATATCTCTAATTTTCTCAACAATATCTCTAACTTTCTCAACAATATCTCACCCTATCTGCTCGAGGGTATTAGTTTCATCACGCCATATGAACCGGACCCCGCCCACTGTGGCAGGTATTTGCTGTGTGGCAAGTCTTGATGACGTCATAGCAGATACATGCTGTCCGGGTAATTAGAATTAGAATTAGGGTAATGTATTGTTACACTAATTGTGCGTTGTAACAAATAGTGTGGTTAGAATTCGGGTTTCAACTACTATTCAAGTGTAACATTATACTGAGTAATAATGACCCGAGTCTCGATGAAGCAAAATCACATACATTCTGTGAGGAAAAATTGTTAACTTTCGAAAAAAGTGGTAACATCGCGGTAAAATTATTAAGATAATTCTAATATTATTCTTGGAACAAACAACAAACACATTCAACAATCCGGCTTTAAATTCCCTGCTCGAAAAATCATTGACTATTCTAGGCTTTGTAAGTTTGATCTCCTATCATAACCGCATTTAACCTCTTGCTTTCTCACATATTAATGAACCATCCAAAACCCGCAGGTTGGACCGCAACGAGAGAGAATTTGAATGTTGATATACCCTTCAAGTTCAACACGGATACTTCTCTGCAGATCAAAACTGACACTGAAATCGGAACGGACAGTACTGTTCACGTTCGCTTCAAATTTACTGGATTTCAGAGTAAAATTCGTATCTATTTCCTAGGGCCTAGGTTCAAAGATTCATATTGCTTCGATGATATAACAACATTCACGTTACCAGCAGCCCCCAATAATCTTAGAGTTTGGACCTTCGAGTTTTATTCAACAGCATTCTCCATCAAGTGCAACGGTGAAAGTGTCGTGGATTTCACCTACTCAGACTCCAGTAGCGATAGATGTGCCAGATGGGCTGGAGAAGTTACACATATAGTTTTCAAGTCAGATGATGACGGAGAATATAAACAAGATGATGCGTCAGATCTTTTCAGACACAGGCCAACAGGTGAGGTTACAATAATTGTGCAACTTCATCGAGCATAGGTAAAAACAATATCGTGCCATTTCAGAAAAAATTCCTAGAATATGGGAAGCAACACATCAAACCTTATTTGACCAAACGGTGATTTTACCGTGGAAATTTAACCACAATCTCTCCCAGAGTGTTTTAAGCAACTGCTCCTTTATAATAATTTGTATCATTTCAGAGTGTGCCCGAATCCCAGTAACCTGGCCCGGGGTAACGACAGATACGCCGCTGCCTGTTAGCCACGGCACTGAACTTGAAGTCTCGTGTCCACCAGGCTACAAACAACAGGGAGACACCAGGGTCACCTGTAATACTTATCTTTTTGAGGACTTTGAATATGACGAAAAACCGATCTGCAATCCAGGTTAGGGCTATAAATCTTTTCTGTAATTTTGAGAAATTCTAAGATACAGTTTATTAGAGTATTGCCAATACTTCCCATGTGACATCAGCTGGCAATCAAAGGAAGTGTTCGTTTTCAACTACTTCCACAACTACAATTAAATATATTTATTGAGGATGTTACAGAAGGAATATATATTAAATGTAGTTTGAGGAGTCCTCACTCGACTCACGTCCGACAATGGCGTTTCTCTTGTCGCTAGTACAATGGAGGCTGTGTAGTGAGGGAAGATTTTTGTGGCCAGTGAATTCGTTTTGAAAACAGGCCTATACAAGATGTCAGTACCAGCTAAAGCCACAAGCACGCACGTACTTACGTACTTTTTAATAGCTGAACATACAGAGAGACGCGCGAAACGGATTTTGAATTTCAAATTTTATCAAAATAAATACATGGCGCGCCACAATAACACAACCTTTTAGAAGCGACCGGCTGAACTATCAGCACTTCTTGGCTTTTGTGAGCCTTGGCAACCGTAATTCTATGAATCTAAGCAATCAGATCTACAGATGCGATGTAGAACAAATAAAGCAGTTACCACTTACCACACAGGAATTGCATAGCCCTACTGCAATGTAATCATTTATGGTGATCGTGTTTAAAATAACGTTATTGTTATGCTCCGAAAGATTAGCCAGACATTTTTTTAAAACCCAAAAATTGCAACGAAGAAAATGAAAATGAAATATGAATGACCATCTTTTTAACTTAGCTGGCAAAATGTAAGAAAGCCGAAACAATTTTTGGTAACAGTGGAACACTAAGTCAGTAAATGGGAATTAATTTGATTTAAAATAAGATATAATTTTCAGTTAAACATGTTTGATTTGTGGCAAAAGCTGAAGGTCGGTCAATAAGATAATATTACTAGTGATTATGATTAAAAAAACATCAACAGTTATTCTTATAAATTTGCCACAAACATTATAAACCATTTGTCATCATGCTTCAAAAATGTCCATATTAAATCGTTATAAAATGTTAATATGTCACATGTAATATGTCACAGGTAATATGTCACATGTAATATGTCACATGTAATATGTCACATGTAATATGTCACATGTGATATGTCACATGTAATATGTCACATGTAATATGTCACATGTAATATGTCACATGTAATATGTCACATGTAATATGTCACATGTAATATTTCACATGTAATATGTCACATGTAATATGTCACATGTAATATGTCACAGGTAATATGTCACATGTAAAATGTCACATGTAATATGTCACATGTAATATGTCACATGTGATATGTCACATGTAATATGTCACATGTAATATGTCACATGTAATATGTCACATGTGATATGTCACATGTAATATGTCACATGTAATATGTCACATGTAATATGTCACATGTGATATGTCACATGTAATATGTCACATGTAATATGTCACATGTAATATGTCACATGATTCTATGAACTAGAATCCGAGGAGAGGCTATCAACAACTTTCTTAGAGCGTTTCTTATCTTTCTTGGATTTCGATGACTTGCTTTTGTCAGATTTTTTGTTTTTGTCGGACTTCTTCTTCTTTGATCTATGTTTCTTCTTTGCATCCTCGGAGTCGCTGTCACTACTTAAGCTGAGTGCTGAGGAAGAGTCTTTTCTTTTCTTCTTTCGGGCCTTCGATCGAGCATCACTCTCACTATCAGACATTTTTGAAGATTTTTTCTTTGATTTCTTATCTTCCGAAGTTTTGCTTTTCTTTTTCGATTTTCGTTTCTCTACCAACGCTTCATCATCCGAATTAGAGCTTAAATCTGAAGAATCAAACTTTTTCTTCTTCTTTGAGTCTGATTTCTTCTTTTCGTCGCCTTTTCTTCGTTTTTCTGACTTTGATTTCCGCCCCGGATTATCTGAGTCGTCGGAAGAAACTTTCTTCTTCTCCGAACTTTTCTCATCTTCCTCCTCTTCATCATCAGACGGCTTTTCTTCGAATACAGTTTCAGAAACTGGCATGTTGGTTTCTTCTTCCGCTGGTTGACTTTCCATTGTTTCTGTTTCCAAACCTTGACTTTCCATTGTTTCTGTTTCTAAACCTTGACTTTCCATTGTTTCTGTTTCTAAACCTTGGCTTTCCATTGTTTCTGTTTCCAGACCTTCGCCTCCTAAATCTGCAGAAATACAGCTCAGATATCAGATAAAACGTACTATAACGTATTATTATATGTTGAGATAAGGCCAACAATTTGATTATGTCGAATAATTCATTTGATCTGACTTACAACTTGCTTTCTTATTTGGTGTTTTTAGTTAGAAGTTTGCTTTCAACGTTTTGACTGCTACGTATGTTGAGCGGTTAAAAGTTAACTTACTTTTAATATACTAATTACTAAAACTATAATATACAAAGTTTATTCTGGATAATTGAAATAAGTGAACATTCTAACCTTTATCATTTTCGCTGTCTGAATCATCAATAATTGGGTTCTTATTCACAGCTGAGGAAAAAGTGAGAATTATTTTATTTATTTGGTTTGTCTTATCCGCTTGGCAGGTATCAAAAAGAGATATGTAAATGATTTTAACTAACTTACTGGAAACACAACTTGTTTTGCATGATTTATTAGTTTATATGCATTTGTATTGACCTCACTATGAATTTAACAACACTAAGCAACAAACAAACAAAAATACCTTTTACAACGGTAGTTTCCGCAGGAGGAGCGTCATCTTCACTGATATCACTAATCTTAGTCAAGCTCGTCTCCTTCTTCTCCTCCTCTTCCTCATCCTTTCCAATCTCGTCACGTACATCTGAGTCATCTTCCGAATCAGAGAAGCGCTTGCGTTTACGGGTCTTTGCTGCTTTCCTGGTTGTCAAACGTTACTCATCAAATCTTTGTAGACGTCAATGCAATTTTTACTCACAACTTGAAAATAAAGGTTCAAACAATCCTGATTGAATAAGGAAATCAATACTTTTTTCCCTTGAAATGAAGATTATTTCCTCACATAATCATCACGTTTTTTTTTCCTTAAATATCAACTCACTTCCTAGGGCTCTCGTCTAAATCGCTACTATCACTGTCCAGTAGTCCCGTGCTGATTGGAGCTGCCTTGACCGGTGACTGGTTCTCCACAGCAACCGGTTCTGCATCGTCACCATCCTCACCTCCGTCAGAATCTGAGGAGATAAACGCCTTGCTCGTGTATTTACCGGACTTTTCTTCTTTCTCGTGTTGTTGCTGAAGTATTATTGCAATATCGTGATCATCCGTGTTATATAATTAAGTAATTATCAGTTCCAACTTGGGGGGGGGGGGGGGGGGGGGGGGGGTGGGAGGGTGGGGTGGGGGTTCTTGAAACATATTATAATTTATAAGTGGTACGTATGTTTGTAGTATCAGAGTTAATTGCATTCAGTTAAGGATGATGCAGATGGGGTAAAGAGATGATGAATTTAGGAATTTGATCAAATTATAACGTTTTTGATAATATCTGATTAGCTGAGGTTATGAATTCATATAAGATATATTATGTACTCACTCTCTTTCGTTCCCTCTCCTTTCTAGCTTTCTTCTTATCTGCTCGAGCCTGCTTCTTCTTCTCTTTTTTCTCTGCCTTATCTTTCTTTTTCTTTTCTTTCTCTTCCTCATTCAGCCCATCTAAGGTAAATTATTCAGTTTATTCTAAATACTAATACCATTAGTCATTACAAATTACAAACCAGTGAATATAACAACGCTGAATCAACAAAAAAGTATTCGACAATGCACGGCTGCGCTCTTTTTGTAATTAAATTTAAAATGGCAACTACCAAGAGGTTGATTTCGGAGAGGATCATCCCAAAATTAAATTATCAATGAAATGAATGTAATATTCCACGTCTCTGGCTAGTACAGTAAAACTCAAACTTAGTGGAAAAAAACAACCGCAGTAAATCGAGATGTACAGTAAATCGGGGCGCAGTAAATCGGGGTTTTACTGTACATTTCTCAAAAGATCGCGTGATAAACTATTAACTATAACAGGTGATAGACTAACCATCCTTATCTGGATCTGAAGAAGCTTCTCCGCTGCTGTATAGTGGTTCATCATCCTTCTTCCTTCGTCCTGAGATATAAGACACCGTTACAATGTATTATATAACGACAACATTTATTGCTGCATACTTCCGATTTCTGGCTACATAATACGTGTATATTCTGAAATTTTCAAGGGGGGGGGGGGGGGGGGGGGGGGGTTCCTGAACATTTGGACGTTCTACGGAAACGTGGTGTTCAAAAATTGGGAAAATGCAACAATATTTAAAGCTAATACACCCAATACAGTAACACGTGCAATCGTAGCATAAAAAAGGATTAATATTTACCTTTAGGAGCTCGTGGTGGTTCAGGTTCGTCAGCAAACATAAGAATGTTCTTGGCTTTTTCACGGAATTCTTCACGCTGTACCAACATTGCTTTGTGCTTATCCTCTTTTTCTTTTTCCAGGCGTTCCCGCACTTCTCTTTTCTTGTTCTCGCTCTCCTGCTTTGCCTTGTCCTGTTGCATTCTGCAATTGTGATCACATCGTTATTAATTGGGACACCCTTTTATAGCTAGTAATGTGACGTAAATAAATAAACTTAATCCGAGACACTATTAACAAAACAGATTTGACATTAAGCTATTTAATCATATAATATGGTAGAAAGAAAACTCCATTTAAGGATATGAGGAGATTTAGGACTCCTCAATAACTACATTAAATACATTCCTTCTGTATCATCCTCAATAAATGTAATAGATTTGTACTAGTGTTCAAGTAATTATATGATACTGGTAATTTGTACAAAAAACTATTTGACATTAAGCTATTTAATTATATGATATTACCTGATAGCTCGCTGTTCGTCGTCAAGTTTACGTGCACGTGCCACGTGGTACTGCGCCTGGGACAGCAGATCAGTACACTGCCGCGCTTCCGCCCCGGCATGGTTCATGTCGTACTTCTGTCTTTCTGTTGCTTTACTATAATTAAAATGATTTTTAAAGCAAAGATCTGGTATTTTGTTTGGGTAGTACAGTAATACCGCGATTTACCGCGGAGTTTGGGAGAAAGGAAAAAGCCGCGGTAAAACGGGATTTGCGGTGAATCGGGGTTTACGGTAAATCGGTGTTTGCGGTAAATCGGGTTTTTACTGTAGTACTTGTTGAATATAGAGGTCCTTATCGTTCTATATGCAAAACGAAAAAACATCTCAACTTTATGACAATGTTTCCCAAGAAGTATGCTAAAAGTCCCCCAATTAAAGTACCTAAAGTTCCCAATTACCTGAGCATGGTGAAGAAGCGCTGCGCAAGCTCCAAACACGTGGGGAGCACGTAGGCCCCACGCCTCACACATGCTCCCCACGTGTTCCCCACGTGCTCCCCACGTGTTCCCCACGTGTTCCCCATTTACCTGAGCATAGTGAAGAAGCGCTGCGCAAGCTCCAAATTCCTCACGGCACTCACTACATCCTCCAGCCCGCTCTTTTCGTCACGAAGTGTATTTGTAGCGAGATGACGTAACACGTACGACAAGTTGAACAGTATTAAATTATCCTGGGGAAGTTGTACAGGTGTACTGTGTAGTGTAATGTTGTAATGATATGAGAAGATAATGATATATATGATAAGGATTGTATGAAGGTTCATGTAGTCTGATTAATTAATCTGAATCATGTGTCACGTGTCAAAATCATATCCAGGCTATGTATGATAAAAAGTGGCAGCCCACGATAAAAATATCCTCCTTTATTTTCCTTATAAAATAACATCCCAAAAATCTAGTTTTCCAACCTGGCAGATTACATTTTTTATTTGTTATTACAAATATTTTCAATTTTTAATAAAAATAAATAAATAAATTTCTAAAAAATGTTAAATAAAATATTAAAATACAAAAATAAGAGTTGTCAAACCTGAGGAGCCATATGGCGGGCTTGAAGAAGAATGCGCCGAGTCTCCTCCAACTTGCCACACACAAAGTGAGCACGAGCCAGGTACAACAGGATCTCCACGTTCTGGTAGCTGTAGAACTTCTTTAGACAGTTTTCGTACATCTGGGGTGTAATTTCAGTTAAATACTATATTTCCAATTGTTATCAGTAAAAACAGGACTAAATCAAGAAAATCTCCGAATTCTAGCCGTGTTTTACTTACTAAATAGAATAATATATACTTTTAACCATCAAAACTCAGATTTTTATTTGATATTTTGTAGGAAGGAGGATTCACTTTATTGTAGATACTATTATTGAAGTAATGGGGGTTGAATTAGAATATAGGATATATCAGAAATAACCAAAATTTGATCCCTTTAATCATAGGTTTCTCATTTCTCATCATATCTTATTTCAGGTCAGACAATCAACATACAGTCCTCAGACTCAACTACCCCTTACAATAAGCACTATACAGCTGAGCGTGCGTACGATAACGACATCACTACCGTATACGTTCCACAAAGCTCAAATGAAGGGGTTGAAACCTGGATAAAATTTAACTTGGGCAAACTTCACGCTATCTCGAAGATAGTGGTAGTAAACCGTTTAGATGAGTGTCCCGAATGTCAAGCCCAGCTAGATAACGCGCAGGTAACTGTTGTCAGGACAGCAACCGGGAAAGTGACAGAGTGCGGCGTGATAAAGGTAGCAGCGGAAGTCACTGAAGCAGCTCAGACATATACACTGGATTGTGATGGTGTGGTGGGTGATCAGGTGATGGTGACTGGTCAAGCTAAGACTGGGGTGGGACAACATGCGCCCTCCATAGCCGAGATAGAGATCTTTGGGTTTGGAGGTAAAGCTTTGAAATATTTGGTGCATTAACAGCAGAAATCAAGAAAATATAATAACAGTTCAATATTTTTGGTTTCAAATTGATTTTAATTATTTTTAAAATATATGGGGAGATAATTTCAAAATTATGAAATAACACTAAAAAAGACTAGGAAACACTTTGATTTCAGCTTGCCCCGACAACTACCCATTTGTCTATAGAAGTGGAGAATACTGCTGCAAAACGAATAAGCAGAACACAGGATGTGAAACAGGGTGCAGACCGATAATGTTCGAAAGTCGCAACTGTAAAGACAATGCTTTTACTAGATGCCCAATTGGAGGATACAACTGTGTTAACTCTGATTTAGGTTAGTGAGTAGTGAGTAGTGAGTAGTGAGTAGTGAGTAGTGAGTAGTGAGTAGTGAGTAGTGAGTTGTGAGTAGTGAGTAGTGAGTAGTGAGTAGTGAGTAGTGAGTAGTGAGTAGTGAGTAGTGAGTAGTGAGTAGTGAGTAGTGAGTAGTGAATACGAATTTATTCTATGAAAAAGAGCTGTCTAGGATTTTGAAAGGCATCATGTTACCAATAACCAAATGCCATATAAACAATATAGTTTCTCCAAAACCACGTGACAATATAGCATAATATAATGATAGAGACATAGTAACTGTGTAAGGTTTCTAACACATGAGCTAGGGAATAACACTACAAAACCCTCAGTTAGAGCGATATTACCTGGAGAATAACACCAGAAACCCCTCAGTTAGAGCGATATTACCTGGAGAAGTTGTACCCTCCAAAGTAACTCAAGGCAGAACTCTGGATGATAAGGAGGGTAGCTATGCTACTGATCAGAACATCGCCACAATGTCTGCCACTGAAACTAACGATGGAGCAGGCTGGCTAAAACTGGAATTTGATACACCAGTCTTCATCAACAAGGTGGTTATCTATCTTTTAATACTTTCAACACTTCTATATAACAAATAATTTGAGGGCTTATGTCACTGAAGATGACGCCTTGCAACATGTTTGACGATAGCCTGTAGATTGATAGTTTGATCTCAGTATTTACAACAATTCATCTAGTTTGATTGATTCAAAAGGAAACAAATTCCTCAGGTGGTTATCTACTATCAGTTCTACAAGGACTGGTTTCCTTCAAACTGTGGACAGAGCGAGGAACAGTTCAGAGAAGACTGTGTGGATCCTCATAACAATGTGGATGTGTCAGTTGGGATAGAGGATAGTGTCACACTGTGCGGACTGCTAAAGCTCAGCTATAAACTGAGGCAGACAGATCAGATCTACACTATTGTCTGCAATATGTTTGGAGATGTTGTGATGTTGACGAAGGCTAAGGGAGTTATCTCGGTATCTGAAGTGGTTGTCGTTACAGCCAAAGGTACATAGGCTTCTTAATTTATAATATTGTGTGATGTTTTGATCTTGGTTTAAACGATAAATTTGTTTATAAATGGATTATATTATATATCATTATAATCATACTTCTAAAAGATTTCTGTAACATGATATTTCATTTAAACCGACTAAATCGTTCCAGATTGTTGGCAGCCTGATCTAGGTAAGGTTCCAGAATCTTCGATAATAGCTGAGAAACCAAGAATCAATGATGATGACTGTATTGCGTGGTGTGAGAAAGAACAGAATTGCCAGGCAGTAGTGACTGGTCCTGCTAACATGTCCACTAGAAAATGTTACATGGTGAACACTGTTAGTGTCACGGAGCATGGTGGCTGGTATACCGCTTTCAGGTCCTGTTTCTTTGTCAGTGAGTACTATGCTATTTTTATTTGATTTAGAGGATTCTATACCCTTTGGATTTGTAGTTGTAGCTTTCGACTAGCGGGTTTCTAGTTTGTTATATTTGATAAATAAATTTTACAATTTTTGTATAATTGTAAAATAAGGATATATTTTCAGAAAAACCTTTCTTTATTATATTATCGTAACAATTGATGTTCGGTTGAAGATTTAGCTAACTGTATTTATTAACAGAACCATGTGAAGCTGGAACATACATGACTGGTGAAATGTCACAATGTACACCTTGCCCTGATAACAGTTACAGTTATGAAGGAGCATCTTCATGTATACCATGTGCTGAAGGAACATCAGTTAACGAAGATAACACTTTCTGCGGTAAGATGGTTCTTATATTTCTTCTCACTTCAATATTGTAGACCGATTATTTTGACACTTAGCTGGCTTAAAAACATGTGCCCAGATTGCGAAACAAAAATTGTTATTAGTTTACCAAGTGGTTGCTGTTAAATCCTTTTAAGACAAGAGATAAAGATGTTAAACAATCATTTAATTAATACCATTGTTAATTTCATTAGATTGGTTAGAAATCAAGAAAGGAACAACTTATAATTTTGATTTGGAAGCAACACCTCTGCAAATAAAAACGAACATTGCTAAAGGAAGTAACAAATGGCTCGCCGTGTTCCTGCAAAATGAGGACGGAGCTCAACGGAGTGTTCGAGTGCTCTTCTCAAATCCGATTAAATACTTGATAGGTTCTTGTGGAGATGCAACAATATTTCCAGTTGAGCTTCCTACAGAGCAAGAGAAAATATGGACAATCACACGAACAGAAAAAGGGGTGAAATATGAGTGCAACGGGTTGGAAGTTTTAGATTACGATATATCTGAGTGCCCCTTGTGGAACTCCACATGGAAAAATGGGAGGTCTTTATGGGAAGGAAACATAGTGGCTATTATAGCGCGTTATTCGTTGGATACCTCCGATTACTTTCGTCCAAAATCTGGTATGTTGTCAATGTTGTGCGTTTTCAAACTTGCGCTTTTGGTATTACTAATTATACTAATTATACTAATTATACAGGGTGGGCCAAAAGTCAGTACCCATACGTTGGCCTTTATAGCTCAGTCACCGAGTGCCCAATTTAAATACTTCTTTCTGGTATGACTTAGTACCACCACTGGTTCGAGGAATTTGTCAACTCGAAAAATATTCGCGTTCATTTTTTTCAAATGGAGGTTCATTTTCACATTTATTTGATAGTTTGGATAGTCGGATCAAGCTAAATGATATTGAATTGTGTTTGGCCATTCGAATTACGTTTGTCCTGAAAGAATTAGAACTGTAGCTTCTCAGATGACCGAGATATGAAGCATAACGAGTTTATTCATTACGTGTGATCAGGTGATTGGTTTACCTAATCACGTGATAAGGTGCCCCCCCTTAACTACCCTGTTAAACATTATGGGAATTGTTAAGGGTGCCTAATTAAGGTGTCGTGTCACGGTGTCACATAATCACCCAGTCAATATTGTTAACGAGATACAGAAAATGCTTGATAACTTCGTCATTTCTAATCCGTTTTGCCTCATGTTTTCAGATCATATGCAACATTTGATAATCTACCGTTTCTGAAAAAATTAGGCGTTCAGCATGTTCAGAGAAAACAATATAGGGGTTTTAATATTGAATGGGCGTGGTCTAAAATATTCGAATTTTCAAATTTTGACGACGGAATCCTCGAACCAGTAAGTACAGTATGCCATCTGCAAAACAACAGCTCTCAAATATAAAACACGGCGGAGCTATTAAGGCCAACGTATGGGTACTGACTTTTGGCCCACCCTGTACTAATTATACTAATTATACTAATTATACTAATTATACAATAATTTTGAACCAGATTCTGTGGTATTGAAAAGGGTTTACTTGACTTGTTTTACTGTTTAACAATTAACACACAATTAATCTCCTATAGGTTGGATACCTGTTCGACGCACAAACCTCCAAGACCTAACCTGGACTCAGACCCCTTTACAAATAAGACTCAATAATGTTGCTGATGAAGTAAAGACAATCCTGGAATTACATTTCAGCAATGATAAGAACGAGTTGACCGGACACCTCAGATTGGAAGGTCTTTACTCCACGGAGGTAGATTACCAACTGAAATATTGTCATAGTGACAAAGTGGAGAATCTACCATTCGATGGCACCAAAAGTGAAAGCGATATCTGCACCTTTACTCGAACTGAAGCAGGAGTATTGATACAATGCATGAACCTTGAAATCCTGAACTATGTGTTTTCTGATGAAAGCTGCACCTCTAACGAGTGGGAGAAATACTGGGTCAGTAATGGGGAAGCAACCAAACTGAGTGTGGCTGAATCAGATACCTTATCTGGTTTCTACAGAGTAAAACCTGGTAGGTTAGACGCAATGAACAACATCAACTCAAGTTACAATGTTGTATTTATTGTATTCAAACCATTTT